ACCCTCAGTAGGTCCTACCAGTTCCAACAGTTAATTCTCCTTGGGGACACCTTTCCAACTAATGATACATCTACAGAATGGAAAGTTGGCTGTCTAAATACATCAACTGTATTTAACTTTATGCCCAAGACAGCCCTGCAGAAAAGTAGCAAAAGTTCAATTGGCTTACCCTAAAAACTTCTCCCATTCATAGAGTTAATTATAAAGGGAGGAAGAAGGTTTAACTCTTTAAACTTGTTAAAGCAATCTAACATAAAATTTTCTTTGTTTTACTAAAGATTTAAACATATTTGCCCTGCAGATTTAATTCATGGTATCACCTTTCTTAAATGTTCTCCCCACAAGAAGGAAATGGTAACTATGTGATGGGATGGAGGTGTTAGCCGATGCTATGGTGGTAATCATTTTGCAATATATAAATGTATCAAATCAACACATTGTAGACCTTGAAATTATACAATGTTGTATGTCAATTATATTTCAAAAACTGGGAGAAAACAGGTTTTGTTATGTTTTTATAATTGGAATGATAAAGAGTTCCTTCTCTTCTACAACAAAGAACTTCAGCCTATAAGGAGGCCTTTGAACATATGAACTACTTTTACCTAGAGTACTGCAAAAAAGTCCAAATCAGTTTTTCAAAATAACAGTAATTTACTTTGGCAAAAGAAAAATATCTTGAATCTGCGAATCTTTGCTGTATATTGGTTTGTAATTGTAAATATATATATGAAAGTCTCTGTGGTGTTTTTTTTTTAAGCAAGTGAGTTTTTTCCCTTAAATCAGAACACATAGGTCCTGGCCAGGTAGCTCAGTTGGTTAGAGCATCATCCCAATATGCCAAGGTTGCAGGTTCAATCCCCGGTCAGGGCACATACAAGAGTCAACCAATGAATGAATGAATAAGTGGATCAACAAATCAATGTCTCTGTCTCTCTCTCTCTGTCTCTCTCTCTCTCTCTCTCTCTCTCAAATCAATAAATAGGAAGAAAGAAACAAACAAGACAAGCTCTACCTCTTCCACTGGGAGAGGAGCTACTATGTTCCCAGGGGCAATGCTATCAGTCCTCTGAGACGGCATTTATAGTCCCTTTGGTCTCTTTATTCAAATAGCAGCCTCCCCAGTGGTGATGTAAAGCTTGGTGCACGCCAGCCATGACAAGCATCTTGGAACATAAGTGAAAGAAAGTAATTTGGTTGAGCAGGAAGGGAAGACTTTAACTAAAAAATTATCCAAGCACCAACAGAATAAAACAGAATATTTTATCTGAGTTAACCTAATTTTCAAAAGTATGTCAATCTTTGAGAAAATATTTCTGTCCAAAAAACAAACAAGTAAAAACCCCAAAACAGGAAAAGATAAATTATAATTTTAATGAATAATCATTATATAAGTATTCGAAGTTTCACTGCAAATTTGGGTCCCTGAGACCCTGCAAAAGCTTTTATCATGAAAGCATATTTACAGAAAGAATGGGTTTAATTTTACAAAATAGGAATCCAATTTTATTATGGCACAAAATTAAATAAAACCTGGGATATTTCCTTCCCTAGAACACATAATGAAGTTGCACTGTGAGTAATGATGGGTAAGATGCAGGGCCAAGAAGCAGCTCTGGTTTTCTTTACGAGACATACAGTCTGTTCGGACTCTGGGCTTTCTCCGGGACCTCAGGCCCTTCTGACAACTTCCAGTGATGGGAAAGGGAAAGGAAATACAGAAATGCTTCAATCAGACTTTTTCATGACAAAGTGATTACAGAAATCAATACTCATTCAGTAGCATCCATTTATACCCCCAAAAAGCATAAACAACTAAACACAAAAATGTTTTAATTAGTGTGAATAGTGAAGCTTTAAACAGTTTTTGCATAAGTATTAGAAGAAATAATTACTAGGGGAAAAAACTGTTTCAACTTACGATGCCCCTTCCACTAACTTACTCCAATGGGCCTCATGCCTCAGTTTATTTCTTTGTTGCTGTAAATCATTTACCTTGAAGACAAGCAACATTAATGGAATACGTACACTAGAAAAAGATGTAATGAGCACATAAGAGACTCTAAACTGCTTAGGGTAAAACTCTACTAAATTGAAGAAGAGAGACCAAGGTGGTGACATAGGAGTCTCCTAAGCTCTCCCAACGCCCATCAAAGCACCAAATATACATCTACACATGGAGCAATTCCCTGAGAGAAATCTCAAAACTACCTGAGTGACTCCTATAGGTACAGTAAATGAGATGATACCCACATCGAAATGGGTAGGAAAGGCTGAGACACACTCTCATCATAAACCCCCTCCCCAGCACAAAGCCATACAATCCAGAGAGAACCCCCAAATCCCAGCTTCTCCCTAAGTAGCAAAGAGCTTGGAACACACAACTAGTACCTCAACTTTTAAGGCTCCCACCTGAGGGACAGGCCCCCAAAACCCTCTAGTTCTAAAAGCTGAAGAGTCTTGTATCCATGAGTCCCACAAGACTATAGTAAACCAAAAAGCAGTTCTTAATGATCACACAAGCATGCACAATGGCCATCTCTCTCCCCAGGGCTCAGTGAGAGGGGAACAGGCATCCATCCCAGTCTTTCCCTGGAACAGATTTGACTGCATACAAGCTATTGCCTGAGGGTTCCATTTCTAATTCGCATGCATCTAGGGGCAGGCTGGACCCAGGAGCCAGTGGGCACTTCCCTCCTTCTCACTCCAGCTCACTCCAACAATAAAGCCAGATCACCAGCATCTCTCTGAAAAGATCTTGTACACATGTCTGATACCACCCAAGGGACAGGTTCCCAAATCACCTGGCTCTGATAGCCAATGGGGCTTGCATTCTCAAGGACTGTAGTGGATAAAGCAGCAGCTAATGGGTGCACATGTGAGCACTTGCTACAGCTGTCCCACCAAAGTTCAGCATGGAAGGAGCGAGCAAATAAAAGCCTATCTCCCAGTCTTCCCTGGAAGGGGTTTGACTGCATACTTTCCCAACTCCTGGCCTCTAATCAGCCCAAATCTAGGTATTGACTGAGATCCTCCCCTTCATGGCCTTGATGGGTCTCAGAATAGCCTCAAGTTCTGGGGACCACTAAGAACAAAGACAGCAAACTTGAACCATCACAAAGGTTTAGAGGCAACCAGGAGCTTGGGCTGGGCTGCTTTATGAGGCTCATCTCCCACACAGCACCAATTCTGTAGAGACTGGGAGAAGTGCCTCTTTTATCTAATGCACAGAAACCAACAGAAAGTCAAGGAAAATGAAGAAACAGGAGAACATGTTCCAAATAAAAAGATAAATCTCCAGAAACTGAATTTAAATGAATTGGAGAAGAGTGATTTATCTGATAGGAAGTTCAGAATCATAGTACCAATCACAGAGCTGAAGAATATAATCACTGGAATGAAAATATTAAAAAGTACCAATCACAGAGCTGAAGAATATAATCACTGGAATGAAAAATACAATAAAAGGGTCTGACAGCAAACTAGATTAGTGGAAGAAAGGATCAGTGAACTTGAAGACAGGGTAGTGGAATTCACCCATTCACAGGAGCAAAAAGAAAAAGAAGTGTTAACCCTGTCCCTGAACACTGACAGTGTAGAGAAACCCCATTACAAGTCTAGGCTGCAGTCAATGTTATCTGTACTGTAAACTGTTCTTACAGAAAGTCTAAAAAAGTTCCTAGAAATCTTCAAGGAATTGTTTACAATACCAGGATTTTACCCCTTTGCCTGTAGCTTCATTTGTCCAGACCAACTGCAATTTGCTTTCCACATAGGTACATACAATATATTCTCTATATATAGAAATCCATTCGTACACACACACAAAAGTCAAATTAGACTGAGAACTTGGTATATTCAGACACTGTTCTAGAAGCTTCACCATACATTATCTAATTTAACCAACACAACAAATCAATGAAGTGGATACTATTGTGCCTCATTTTAGAAATTATAACTTTGTGGCATTGGAGCTACAATAACTTGCCCAGGAGGTCTCACAGCCAGGAAGCAACAGGGCCAGGATCTGAACCTGGCCTCAGAGCACATATTCCTAATGACTGTGATACTAGAGCTATTCTCTCATAAAATACAATGTCTCACCACAAAAAGAACTGCTTCAGTTTCCCTCGCATGAAAATATATGTATCTCTGTAAGTATGGCAGAGAGGTCAGAAAGGACCTCTTGGTGGCATAAGTCAGCCTGTTATAAAGGGTATGGATAAACGGAGGGTCGTGATAGATAGAGGTTGGAAAGCCAGAATACATCTCCAAACAGCAATGAAAATGGCAATAAGATGATGCTTAGCTACTTGGGGGTGACCCAGTATCCTCCAAACTTATTTGATCATGTCCCTGTCAGCAAAACTAACCGAACATGTACTTCTAATACAAAATGCACACGTAACATGCTGTTGAGTCAGCTCCAACTCCTGGCGACCATATGAATGAGTGAGGTCCACAACGTCCTGCCTTCAACAGCCCTGCTCAGAAAATTGCATGCAGGACATTTTGCGCATCACTCATTCATAGTACAAATATAATATGAATGCTCACAGTGACACTGATATTTTTAAAGATGTCAATGCAGTGGTTACATTTTCTTCATGGCCACATTTCTTCTAAACGTTCCACAGAGATGGCTGCATGCTCTTCACTGCCCAATGATTCTGTCTGTTTGGAAACAGGCAGTAATACCCCCTTCTCCCAGCAAGAAAACATGCCCAAGGAAGTGGAGCCGCAGCCCAGAGCAGCTGGTTCAAGAGCCTTCCACCAAGAACAGTCCTTCCCTCCTGAGGCAAAGCGCCTCACCTCCTAGAACAGCATCCACCAGCCCAGAGTCAAGTGGCTCAGGACCTCAGGGAAAACAGCCACATCAGATCAAGGCTTGGGTCAAACATGGGCAGGAAAACCACCCAGGGAAACAGACAATAAATTGGAAGACATATTCTGAACTTGACACAGAGATGAAACATACACATTTTCTGGTGAAGACCCACCTTCAAGTGAAGAACTTCCCAAGACAGTCCACCCAAGCGGCAACTCCAGATGGGTCAGCGCCAGCACGAGCTCCTCGTCCAAGGCAGGCAATGCTCCCACCGTCAGGGCAAACGGGGTCAGCAACGTCTGATGGCTACTGGCAGTGAGGCGATGGGCCTGGGTGACCAGCAGACGGGCCAGCCTGCAGGCCATGTTGTCCATGTAGGTCACCGAACCGGAGTCCATGGTCACCGGGGAGTAACCTTCCGAGCACAGGCACACAGACACCGTCACCGTCTCCTGAAGCCCGTGGCCTGGATGACAAGACAGTGGACAGTTCACCCTGAGTCTACATGAGATGCTGTCACCTGCCTAAACAGACCACATGCTCCAGGAGACGGAGGCAGAAAGGACACGCGGCCAGTTATCTTTAAATGCCGCCAAGCCTGTGGGGCCAAATTAAGAAGCTGGCTCCTTCTTCTTCCAGCGACACCTGATCTAAAACGAACATTTATGAGCTCTGAGCGCTTCTATTCTCCTGGGATGACCAGACACTGTTATTTGGCACCCCCTCACCTTTTACATCTACCCCAACCCCCGAGTTCAAGTTTGTCGTCTTAAAGGCCTTCGCCCTTTTCTGCTCTGTTTCCTCCGGAGTTGCACAGGCTTATGTACTTATTTAGATGACAGTTTTATTGAGTAGCACGACACGGCGACACAGGTTCACCCTAATTCCACAGACTCCACTGAAGGGGAGTCGGGGTGGGTGAAGATCGCCCAACAGGGATACTTATGTATATTGTTCAGTGCCGCCCACTTCTGACAATGGCTTCTCTGTCCTGCGGGTGTTCTCAATGCTCCTTGTGAGCGGGCACCTGACCCTGCTCTCTGTTCTTCCTCCTCACGCCTCCCCTTTCATCTTGCCAAGGTGGGCGAACAACTTCTGTTTTTACACTACCCTTGGCAGAGTTTCCGGGAATCAGTGCCACCAAACCTCTGTAATTATGAAGCCACCACTGGCCCCCGCGCACATGGCTAACGAATGTGAGTCTTTCCTGCTCCCCCTTACCCTCCAAAGCCTTCGCCCCAATGCAACGCACCCAGGCTCCAAGGAACAAGAGCACCCCGGGTTTACCAGGCAGGAGATGCTGCCGTTTTCACACTGACTTTTTAAAATGCTCTCACGCGCGGGCCCAGGACCCCCACACCCCCAGCCCACACATGTCCAACACGTAATAGAGAAATCTGCTCTATGTACTTCTGAACGGCTACCCTGGTAAAGCTGTAACCAGCGAAATTTAAGGGTCAGAGGCAGGGACTGTTAGAATCAGGTAAAGCCCCCACTTCCAAGCAGGCCACACTGTAACAGCAAAGATTTTCTTTAACACACAAGGAGTGGGAAGGAGGTTCACCCCTATATGCAAGTAAAGAAAAAGGCAAAACAGAAGTCTTTATATTAGAAGTGGCACTTTGTTTTTATTCTTTCTCTAAAAAAGGCTTCGCTAAAAAGTAAACCAAGAGAAGGGGAAGCTCAAGGCAGGGAAGACAAATGTCAAAGTAAACGGTCAGAGGCAAGAGAGACCCGCAAGCAAAGCGACTCTGTGTCATTAATGAGGTTTGACTCTTTTTATTAAAAAGATGGGAGTTGTTGAACCAGGGACAGAAGTGCCTGAAATCGCCCACAGAACAGCATATTGACTCAAGCCCAGGTAGTGGAAAGGCCTTTGTACATCCTGCAGGTTTACTGTCAGCCTTCCTTCTTCAAGTGATAGATACACTAAGGAAGCACTTAGAGATGTGTTCCTCTACAATGAGGCCAATCTGACCTATAAGAAGGCGGGTGGGTGGAGGGGGAGAGAGTAACCAAAGAATTTATGTGCATATATACACAACCCAAGGACATGGACAATGGTGGGGAGAGGGACTGGGGAGGGGGAAGGAACGGGGTGGAGCGGGTCATTGGGGAGAAAAAGGGACATCTGTAATATTTTAAACAATAATAAAATTTTTTTAAAAAAAGAAAGAAAATGGGATGGTTCCCTCTATGATACGATTTAAGAGTAACTGAAAGATGCACAGGTAAATAAAACTGATCAATTTCAACAAACAAGAACAACAAAACCTTCCCTTCCTGCAGGTAACAGCATCTTAATTACACCTTTAGGCTAGAGCTTGGTGTCCCAATGCACAGCCCACACCCCAGTGAAAACACAAAACAACTGCATTTGAAAAGGGCTATTAGCTCCTGATAACACATTAACGTGATCCATTAACCTGTCATCCGTCACCATGGTGATTAAAGAAGAAACATGGAAGAATTACAGGTTTTAGAACATGACCATTTTGGTGGTGGGAACAGAAAGTTCTGGAGCCTGAGACCCAGCAAGGAAGCGTCTGGATGGACAGGGTGCCAGGTAAGGAGCCCCAGCCACCAAAAGGAGCAAGCGGGAGAGGGGGCCCCTGGGCCCGCTGGACTGACCCCAGGGAATGAGGGAGGAAAAACAGACACCCGTCCATGTCTGTCTGTCTGCCTGAACCACCCCTGGCCATAGGGCCTGGGACTGCAGGAGGCGATCCTGAGATTCAGGGTCACCACTGGCTGCACCCAAAGCACAACCAGCCTTGAGAGCTGAGTCCACGGCGAGGCTGCTTGGAGAGCGGTGGACCAGCTGGGAGAACCCAGGCGTGAGACGACCCGTGCGAGCGCCCTTCCCAGCACAGTCACCCGCACACCCGCACTCCCGCAGAGTCGCCCGCACTCCCGCACACCCGCAGAGTCACCCGCACTCCCGCACTCCCGCAGTCACCCGCACACCCACACACCCGCACAGTCACCCGCACACCCACACACCCGCACAGTCACCCGCACACCCACACACCCGCACAGTCACCCGCACACCC